AACAATCTGAGGGTTGCTGGAGTGGTGGGGGGTGGGAGGGATGGGGTGGCTGGGTGATGGACACTGGGGAGGGTATGTGCTATGGTGAGTGCTGTGAATTATACAAGATTGTTGAATCACAGATCTGTATCTCTGAAACAAATAATACATTATATATTAAAAAAAAAAGACGAAGTTAGCAAGAGGGGAAGAATGAAGGGGGGGAAATCAGAGGGGGAGATGAACCATGAGAAACGATGGACTCAAAAACAAACTGAGAGTTCTAGAGGGGAGGGGGGTGGGAGGATGGTTTAGCCTGGTGATGGGTATTAAAGAGGGCACGTTCTGCATGGAGCACTGGGTTTTATACGCAAACAATGAATCATGGAACACTACAACAACAGTAATGATGTAATGTATGGTGATTAACATAATAAAAAATAAATAAAATAAAAAATAAAACACAGCCAATGCCAATTAAAACAAAAAAACAAAAACAAAACTATAGGCCCATATCCCTGATGAATATAGATACAAAAATCCTCCACAAAAAATATTAGCAAACTGCATACAATAATATGTTAAAGTGATCATTCCTCATAATCAGGTAGGATTTATTCCAGGAACGCACAGATGCTTCAATATTTGCAAATCCAATCAATGTCCTATACCACACCAACAAAATGAAGGGTAAAAATCATGATCATCTTAATAGATGCAGAAAAAGCATGTGACAAGATTCAATCTCAATTTATGATAAAAACTCTCAACAAAGTGGGGGTAGATGGAATATACCTCAACATGATAAAGGCCGTATATGAAAAACCCACAGCTGACATCATAATGGTGAAAAACAGAGCTTTCCCTCTGAGCTCAGGAATAGCTCATTTTTTATTCAACATAATACTGCAAGTCCTAGTCACAGCAATCAGACACAAAGAAGAAATAAGAGGCATCCATGTCGGTAAAGAAGAAATTAAACTGTCATGATTTACACACAACATGATACTATATATATATACTATATATAGAAAAATCCTAACGACTACACCAAAAACTTACTGGGAGTAATAAACAAATTTAGTAAGCTGGCAGGATACAAAATTAATGCCCAGAAATCAGTAGCATTTCTATACTCTAACAATGAAGTTGCAGCAAGAGAAATGTAAAAAACAGAACAACAAAACTCAACACCATTTACAACTGCACCAAAAATAAAGTATCTACGAATAAACTTAACCAAATAGGTGAAAGACCTGTACTCCGAACAGTATAAAACACCGATGAAAGAAACTGACGATGACACAATTGAAGATGAACTAGAATACTGTTAAAATGTCCATATTGCCCAAAGCAATCTACAGATTCAATGCAATCTCTGTCAAAATACCAACAGTGTTTTTCACAAAACCAGAACAAATACTAAAACTTGCACAAAACTACAGAAGACCCTTAATAGCCAAAGCAATCTTAAGAAGAATGAAGCTGGATATATCACAGCTCCAGGTTTTAAGATATACTACAAAGCTGTAGTAATCAAAACACTGTGGTATTGGCACAAAAACAGACACATAGATCAAAGGAATAGAGACTCCAGAAATAAACCCATGATTATATGGTCAAATGATCTATGATAAAGGAGGCAAGAACATACAACAGGGAGAAGACAGTCTTTTAAATTAATAGTGCTGGGATTACTGGACAGCTACATGCTATAGAATGAAACTAGACCACTTTCTAACACGGAACACAAAAATAAACTCAAAATGGACTAAAGACATATATGTGAGACCTGAAACCATAAAAATCCTATAAGAGAACACAGGCAGTAATTTCTCTGACATTAGCAATAGCAACATTTTTCTAGCTAGGTCTCCTGCGGCAAGGAAAACAAAAGCAAAAATAAACTATTGAGACTACACCAAAGTAAAAGGCTTCTGCACAGGGCACCTGGGTGGCTCAGTGGTTAAGTATCTGCCTTTGGCTCAGGTCATGATCCCGGGGTTCTAGGATCAAGCCTCTCTTCGGGCTCCCTGCTCAGTGGGGAGCCTGCTTCTCCCTCTGCCCCTTTCCCCTATTGTGCTCTCTCTCAAATAAATAAAATCTTAAAAAAATAAAAATAAAAGACTTCTGCACAGCAAAGGTTTGAAACCACTGACAAAACAAAAAACCAACCTACTTAATGGGAGAAGATATTTACAAATGATAGATCCAATAAGGGGTTAATATTCAAAATATATGAAGAACTTATACAACACCAAAAAAACCCAAACAATCCAATTAAAAAAATGGACAGAGGACCTGAATAGACATTTTTCCAAAGAAAACATACAGATGGCTGACACATGAAAAGATGCTCAACATCACTCATCAGAGAAATACAAATCAAAACCACAATGAGATATCACCTGACAACAATTAGAATGGTTAAAATCAAAATGACAAGAAATACCAAGGGTTGGCAAGGATGCGGAGAAAAAGGAATCCTTGTGCACTGTTGGTAGGAATGTAAATTGGTATAGCCACTGTGGAAAACAATGCAGGTTCCTCAAAAAATTAAATATAGAAATACCATATGATCCAATAATCTCACTGTTGAGCATTTATGCAAAGAAAGCAAAAACACTAATTTGAGAGAGAGAATGAGAGACAGAGAGAGAGCGCATGAGAGGGGGGAGGGTCAGAGGGAGAAGCAGACTCCCTGCCGAGCAGGGACCCCGATGCGGGACTCGATCCTGGGACTCCAGGATCATGACCTGAGCCGAAGGCAGTCGCTTAACCGACTGAGCCACTCAGGCGCCCCAAAAACACTAATTTGAAAAGATATATGCACCCCTGTGTTTACTGCAGTATTATTTACAATAGACAAGATATGGGGACAACCTAAGTGTCCATCAATAAAAATTTGTACACACACACAAATATTACACAACTATAAAAAAGGAGGAGATCGTGCCATTTGAGATAACATAGAACTAGGGGGTATTATGCAAAGTGAAATAGGTTAGTCAGAGAAAGAAATATTGCATGATTCCACTCAAAAGTGGAATCTAAAAAAAAAAAAAAAACAAAAAACCCAAGCAAATGAATAAACAAAAAGCAGAAGCAGACCTATAAATACAGAGAACAAACTGATGGTTGCCAGACCGGGGCGGGCGGTGGGTAGAGTGTCAGGCAAAATAGGTGAAGGGGAGAGGGAGACACAGGCTTCCAGTTGTGTAATGAGTAAGTCACAGGAATAAAAAAAAAAAAAAAAAATCACAGCATAAGAAATACTGTGAATGAACTGACGATGTAAAGGGACAGATGGTAGCTATATTTGTGATGAACATAGCATGATGCATAAACTTGTCAAATCACCTTGCTGTATACCTGAAACTAATGTCACATTGTGTGTCAACTATACTAAAAAAAAAAAAAATAGACTGTTAATGTCACATTATAAAAAATAATTCTGCCCAAAGATTTTTTTTCTTCTGGATTTTGAAATCAGGAATGGAAATATTTCATGACTTCACAAGAAAGCGATGCTTCTCAACCATGAAACTAGGTCAGTGTTGATTCTTCTCTATAACAATTTTACAGAAATCACTTTGTAACTGAGATTGACAAAGTATTAGGAGATCTCATCTTCAACAACCAATGATAATTCAGAATATTTGAGAAGTAACAAACATTTAAGAAACTAGGGATTTGTTAAATTTTTTAAACAAGTATTTATGCCCCCTCCTTACTGAATACTCAATTATACATTCTTTATATGCTTTAGAATTTTTTAAGTGGGGGGGGGAGAGAGAGAAAGAGAGAGAGAATGTGCTGAGTAGGGGGTGGGAGAGGAGAGAGAGAATCTTAAGTAGGCTCCATGCTCAGTGAGGAGCCAGACTCAAGGCTCAATCTCATGACCCTGAGATCATGACCTGAGCCAAAATCAAGAGTTGCATGCCCAACAAACTGAGTCACCCAAGCACCCCTGCTTTAGAATTGTTCTAATTGCTTCTGTTTGAGAGCTAATTTTGGCATTCATTTAATAAGGTAGGACAAACTATCACAACAGCAAAACATAATATTTACTATATTAATATCAGCTACCCTTTTTTTCCATCCTTTCTCCAGTTTTCTAGGTCAACTTGTGTCTTTAATTCTGGTTTTCTTTTCAGCTCCGAGTTCATTATACTATGGACATGGATTTAAAGAGCTGTCTAGTTAGAGTCTGCTAAGCTTTAGGTGCAAGGACTAAAATTTCCAAGAGCTGCATATAACTGTTACATGAAACAACAGAATCTCCTGACAAACTAATGTAAAAAGCATCCAGGATTAAACAAAAATGTGCAAAGTGCCTGGTACAATTTGTCTTTTTTCCTGTAAAATGTTAATAAGATAGTTTGTTCTGTTATTATGATCTCTTTACAGTGAAGAAGAATAATTGAAGGAGGTACTTGGGAAATACACATGTTTGTACATGCATGCATTTCAAAAATGACAATACTTTGGATATATATTATATATATGTTATATATTCAAAGACCTTTCATAGAAAATGGCAGTGCAATAAGCTCTTTCTCTGAAGGTTATGCTTTTTAATGTGATTTTAAAAATTATAAATAATGGTTATATCCTCAAAATGATGAAATATAAACCATACTACATATGAAAATCATTCAGTTCTTTATTCTGCAAAAATGCAGATTGACTTTTATTTACCAATACTGAAGTAAATTAAACTAAGTCAGTTTAATAATCTTTCTTACCCTTGAGATGGTAAACAGGTAGACTCTTCCTTCCTCTTTCTTTAAGTCGTTCATGAACATTGGTGCACCCACCAAGAGCACATCTGTAATGGTGTCTTTATTCACATCGACGGAACACAGCACACTCCCAAAATAGGAGCCAATCTGGAAGGAGAAAGCATATTAACCTTAGGATTCCTAGGACTCCTATACTCCTAATGTTACACTTAACTTTCATTTACTCATTCAACAAACAAAAGTCAAGTGGAACTGTCCGTGGCATGATCCTGGACAGGAGGGAAGTTCTCAGATGGAGTGGGACAGAGGACCAGGTGGAGATTCAGTGAAGGAAGAGAGGCTGGCCATCTGAATGTTCAGTGCATGCCTACGTGACTACCTCTGCGGGATTCAGAAACGGATAAGAAAGCATTCGTTCTAGAACACGGTCATTGTTTTTCTCAAAATAAAAGCACCCTTCTTTAAAGTAGTAAAGAGGAGAGAAAAATACGTGACCATAGCTGGTTTGTGGTCAGGGAAGTCAGAGGCTCATGTCGTCTTACTCCTGGAAAATCCACAGAGACAGGAGCATCACACTTAATCCCGGAGAAGGGAAATCTAAATGGTTGGTTTCTCTGACTCAAGGAAGGAAAATTTCTGTTGGTTGTCAGAGATCAGGGTTGCCCATTTCAAATATGTGCCAAGCCCATGGGTCAAAACCGCTTAGTAAGGAAATAGGAACCTGTCAGCTGGCCTCTGCTCTAGCAGGCCACCCCTGGGAGTCATCCGCGGTTCTGACTACCAAACGGTCATGCTGAGAAGAAAGTGGTAGAAAAGAGAATTGCTTTAATTTTAGAAACGTCAAAGCCACAGGACACCTAGACAGGCCCAGACGGAGTAGCTCAGTCTTGACAATGCTGTACTGCTCTCTTCTCATTTTTCCTCTAGATCATTGGCTCTTAGTAGGAGCTTGCCAACAGAGCCATGTTCGGTGCCTGTCATTAGGATAAGACCCAGGTGTTATCGATCTGGGGGAGTCAAAACCTTGCAGTTGGATATAACCAAACAGCACAGGCTTTGAGGCCACACAGGACAGGGTTTTAATGACAACTCAGCCCCATGAAAGCTATTTGACCTTAGGAAGGTAAACTCTCAGTAACCTGCTGGAAGAGGATGGTAGATCTCAGTATTGTGAAGATTTAAGGAATATATATTTAATTTTATTTAAGTTCAATTAACATATAGTGTGTTATTAGTTTCAGAGGTAGAAGTCAGTGATTCATCCGGTTGCATATAACACCCAGTGCTCATGACATCATGTGCCCTCCTTTATGCCCATCACCCAGTTATTGATTTAAGGAATATTCAAGTAAATACAGATTACAGAACCAGCCACAGGTCGGCACTCAATAAATGCTAGTTTCCATTTCTATCAACTCCCACTCCTCCTCTGCCCCAGTCATCCCTACGATTAATTTCACCTACTACACCATGGCATTTACCTGGTCACCTCGGTGAGCCTGAATAACTGTGACATTGCCATTCTCATTAACACTGTAGAGCACGATCTGGCCAGTATAATTTGCCCGAGGAGCACCAGCAACAAAATGGAGGTCTTTTTCAGTAGAAATTGCAGCCACAGAGTAACCTAGGAGAGAAGAGGTTGCAGAGTAGGTACTATTGAAATGCTCAGCCAAATAGGCTCGAAAAGTTAGTAGAGATGACCAGAGGTCCTTTTTTGTTGCGCGGCAGAGGGGGGTGTGTTAGAAGGTGGTGGACACCCAGTAGTGTATCCTCCAGACTGAGAAGGTATTTTAATGCTGAAACACAAAGCAAGCCACTCCATATTGTTTACAGGGTTTTTTTTTTTTTTCCGGCATAACTTACTGACAAGGGCAATCCAGCAGGCAGGCACGGAGGGACGGAGGGACGGACAATCCAAGACACTATGCAACTACTCTCCACCCCTACTCAGAGCTTCATCTCCAGCTTTTATGGACCAACAGACATGGTGGTGAGGTCACAGGGTCGTTACCTAAAGTTGTGGCACCTGCACCAGAGGGCTCGCTATTGGTTAGCTAAAGTGGTGGAATCTGTGTGCCGGAGAGGACTCAACACAGAAGGCTAAGGATGGAGTCGCTGTTGTCAGCACTCCTTCCTGGGTATGCACAGTTCCCAGTGTGCCCGGGTGCATCACTGCGAGCTCATCTTCCTTTTCCTAAGATGAACTGCTCCTGCCCTGTGACGGAAGCACTGCCCTGCAGAGGCAGGACACCTACCTATAAACCAGGCCCTAGATTCGGGGTTGTCCCATCAGCCACTCATGCACTTGGCACTGAACAAGTATTTCTTGAATGAATAATTATATGAACTTAAAAGGTAATGTCGCGCAGTATAAAGAACATAGGCTTTGGAATCAGACCGTCCCAGGTTTGAATTCTGGATTTGCCACTTACTAAGTTATTTACCTTTGGGAAGGTTATTAACCTCTCAGGCTCTCAAAGTAAAATGGGGATAATAATACTTTCTTCAAAGGGTTGTTGGAAGGATTTTTTTTTTTTTTTTTAAAGGAGGCTCTACACTCAGCTTGGGGCCCAATGCAGGGCTTGAACTCACAACCCTGAGATCAAGACCTGAACTGAGATCAAGAGTCAGATACTCAACCAGCTGAGGCACCCAGGCATCCCTGGAAGGATTAAAATGTTTATGTAGATAGAACTGCCCGCTCAGGAACTGTCCCATAGTAGGTGCTCAAAATCAGTGGCCGCTTATTACAGGAATAAAAAGACTAAGAACTCTAAAGTTATATAAGACTACCACTCACTATATTGGCTTTTAGGAACTATTTCCATTTTAGAGAAGCACAATCACAGCTGCTTGAACAGCCAGAAGAGATCAGCAAGTGTAATACAGTGTGTCATTAAAGTTTTAGGAAAAGGCCCGATTTGCAAAGAGGCAACATAAATATGTGCAATAAATATAATAATTAGATGACACTTCAAGGGCTTTGCTGAACAGATCCTGAGATTCAGCAAGGGGCTCGTTTTAAAAAAGGGAACTTAAATTTGCTGAGTCAAATGCTCCTATGCCTTACCTAAATATGAGCTGTGGTTTTTATCTTGCAGAATTTGGTCAAAGGCCTGGTTAGGAAAGATCAAATGTCCATGAGATGTCTGCTGGACAACAGTCCCACTCCAGGCATAAGCTCCTACTGCACCCAGCATCAGAATATCCTAAAATAATTGAAAAATGAAGATCATGAGAACAAACTACCTTTAAAGCACAAGAATGCAGCGTATGCAAAACATTGAAATAATGGCCTAGATTTAAGGAGAAAATGATGAAGTAAAATGTATTTGAATGTATCCTGATATATGTCCACATTGTTTTACTATATTTTGTGCTGGAAAACAAGCCTTCCCCCAGGCCATGTTAACTTGATTCATTCTGTAGATAAATCTCTACTACCCTACAGGAGGAGCACATAGCCACCTTCCAATTTCCATTCAAAGGTGTACCTGGGCAAATGCCAAACAGTTGTGAGCCTCCCGTCCCATATATTCATGAGTAAAGCTCAGGGTGGGATGTGAGGCATGCCTGAGAAGTAGGACGTGCAGCTAGCAGAGGAGAAGAGGTGGGGCCCTGCTGCTATCCAGCCACGTCCTCTTGGGAGGTCCTTTTCTGACCTATTCTATTTTCCAATGTTCTTCCTCTTTCCTCTTGACTCCTTCTCAAATGTTCCTCTATCATCTATATCTTAGTCCGTCTGTTGGAAGACAACAGAGCTACAAAAGTTTACCATAGGGTGACATTCTATCTACTTGGAGAACAGACATTGGTCAGCACAGCGCCAGGAGGGGCTGGTTCACAAAGCAGGACAGGATGCTCTGGACTGACTCAAAATCCAACCAGGATCGTCAAAGCTGTAAGTCATCGAAGAGGGCAGGGTTTGTCGGGATGGGATTTATTATTTTCAAGTTTTTGATCTTAGATCTCAGAAAACATCAAAGATATGGATTTTGGATTGAAAAATATAAGCCATTAAAAATAGAGCAAAAAGGAAAATGTGTCCCATTTTGAGGACAAGAGACCATGAAATTGTGTGAACGCCTGTCATAAATTTGGGACTCCACATCAGGGTGCAGGAAGGGACTTCAGGACGTGTACAAAAACCTCAGGAAGTTGAGTGCAATATTTCTGAGGGAAAAACCCATAACTTTTACGAGCATTCCTAACGATTAGTGATCCAGACAAAGTCAACACCTTTACTTCTAGAGCAAAAAAACAAGCCATTCCTGGTCCGTCCTTCTGGCAATCAAGTCCTCTGAGTTCATACTGTTGCCAAAGCTTTTCCAGTGTTGCCCATCTCTGTGTCCCTCCGCTGTTCCACTGAGACCCCGAGCAGAGTTGGAACCAGAGCCTGGGGAAGTGGATGTTTATGAGAAGGAAGAACACATCTTCTGAGCTAAGAAAGCTTTCCATCTCACATGTTTGCTAACTCCTCACTTTTTTCAACTATCTTCTGTCTCTGCTCATAGAAAAGAGATACTCCGGCACCTCAGAATTCAAGAGTGGCAGTGATGACAAGAGTTTGTGTTTTGTGTTTCATTTTTTTAAAGATTCATTTATTTATTTATTTGAGTGAGAGAGTGTGTGTGCATGAGCTGGGGGAGGGGAAGAGAGAGAGAGAGAATCTCAAGCGGACATGCCGCTGAGCGTGGGGTGGGCTCAATCCTAAGACCCTGGGATCAAGACCTGAGCTAAAATCAGGAGTCACTTAACCGACTGAGCCACCCAGGTGCCCCAAGAGTTTGTGTTTTTAAATAAACTTTTCCAGTAGTTAATTGATTTAAAGGAAATTCCTGCAATGATAATCCCTTGAATTAATATAGTGCCTGTCCCTTGGAGTACTCATACACTTTCTTGCATATTACCATTTTTTTCCATAAAAAATCCCCATGAAACAGGGAGGGGAAGGCATTATTATCCTTCATCTTTTAGATGACAAATCAGCAGCACAAAGAAACTGAATGACTATGACTGGGAATCAGAACTGTTGATCACTAGATGGCTGTTTTTTCCATTCTATATATAAAGCTGCTGTGCCCCAAAGTGTTCAGCCAAATGACAGCATGGCTGGAAGTTATCTGATATACACACGTTCTGAGGAGAGTAATCTGCGCTGATTCCCACTTGTGACATTTCCATCTGGAAGTTGTCTCCTCCTTGAACAGTACCTGGGAGATGGTAATTTCAAGAGTTATATCACTGTCAGTTTTTAAATCAAATTTTCAAACATGCATGCACATACACACATGAACACATGTGCACATGCACATATATGGACATACACACATACACCCACAATGTTCTGATGTTCACTCAAAAATATAGAGCTGGCAAATGCTGGGAGGGAGAAATCACGAAGGAAGTGTTCTAACAACAACCCACAAGACTTCCAAGGTAGTGTTTGAAATTGAAATATTAATCTTGATTATGCATTAATGCACTTATTGGTATGCTTATGATGTTCCTGATATCAAAAACACTCAACATACGGGATGAGGTAAAATAAAACCTGAAGTGATGGCCCTTTTTAAAAATTATTATTACTAGCTAAGAAACTAACTGAATTTTTAGCTTTTAAATATTGGTACTAATAAGTGTACATACATCTTAGGTGCAGTTGGAAGAGCCAGGCAGTTGATGTGTAATGAAGACCAAACAGATATTTGGGTTAGGCTTCAGGATCCAGGATTCAAGACTGAGTAGGAATTTTACCAGTTAGGAAGTTTGTCCTATTTCTACATATGTGCTTGTCTTTGACACTCAAACCATAGGACTCAATTAGTATTCATTTTCCATACAATTTAGTCAAAATGGTTACACTTAATTAATCTTCACAAAAAGGAATAAATTCCTGGACTACCACTTAGATATAAAGAGTGATATATATAATATATACCATACGACACAGTCACTTGTTTAGAAGATGTAATAATTTACACAGGCTGAGTAGAGATAATTTTTTTAAAGATTTTATTTTTAAGTAATCTCTACACCCAACACGGGGCTCGAACTCACAACTGTAAGATCAAGAGTTGCACGCTACACTGACCAAGCCAGCCAGGTGCCCCAAGATAATTTTTAATAAAGTAGAGCAGTGCTTCCCCAAAATCCAAAATAGCAGATAAGGCACAAAATCATTTCTAATTAGCATTTAGGTTGCATTGTGATTATTCATGTTCAGGCGATCACAAACAAGCATGAGTCATACCATAGGTAGCCAAATAATTTTATATTATTTTATATTATCTCAAGGCATATTAGATTTTGATAATGATTTCAACAACTCAGAAGTACCACTGGATGTTTAAAGAAGCAATAATATTTTTTGGGTAGAAGTCTCCAGTGGATAATCAGGAGGTGAAGATAAGACTAAGGAATGAATGCTTACTTTATGCAATGCCCTTGGACCCAGCTTCTGAAAGAGAACCTGACCTATAATAGGTGTTCCATAAAATAAGCTCTTTATTGCTGAGAGTTATTTGGGTTAGCCACCAGGAACCAGAATTTGGGGACTTTTACCAACTGGGAAGTGTGTCCCATATAGTGAGTTCTTGAATATGTGGTATTTCTACACTGACTAGAGCTTCCAAGGCCATTTTAGTAAATTATTGTAGATCTGGGAAATAACAAGTTTCCTTGAAATCTGAACTATTAAAAATCTTCATTATGTTTTTCTAATTTTAAAAGTATACATGCTTGTTGTAAATGAATTCAAGAATTTCAGAAATTATGAAACAGTATAAAAAGGTAAAACTTTTATGATTATAAAAACTATGCAGGGTAAAAAGGTAAAACTGTTTACAATTATAGTAGATATTACTAAATTGCCTTCCCCCCGAAGCTATACAATTTATAATCTTATCAATTGTGTATGAGCTTCTTTGCTTCCCCATAATATCTCCAAGATTATATATTACTAATCTTCATTATCTTTTAGGCATAAAGTAACATTGATTTAATTTATAATTTAAAATAATTACTGAAATTGGGAATATTTTCTTATATTTATTAGCCATTTGTATCTTATCTTTTATGAACAACTCACTCATGTTATCTGTTTTTCTTACTGATTCATAGGAGTTCTTTTCATATAAGGTATATAAGTTAACATTAATAGAGCAAGAATACAGTAATAAAATCAAGAATTCTTGAAAAAAGGTTTTGAAAGATGTTCTTTTACCTTCAATGCTAAAAATTTGTTCTCCTAGTGTCCCAGCCTTTTCTAGTAGAGCTGCTTCATCAGACACGTTGAAAAAATATCTTTCTGTTGGAATACTGGCAATTGCTTTAATTTCCTTTATTAAATTTTTAGTATCAAGGGCATTTCTGTTTAAGTACCCAAGAACCTTAAAAATAGAGGAAGAGGGGAAAGAAGTCATTACAGCTATACTCCAATATCCCTACTAGCACTTTCTAGTATTTATTTCTGAACACAAGAGGACCTCTGGAGAAGTAAATCCACACCCCCTTAGTCAACAGGACTGAAAATCAGCAAGAAGAGAGACAGAATGAAAATTTTTTCTATAAAGCTGTGTGCACCGAATGAGAAAGTGCAATCTTGGGAAGTGATGTTATAAAGAAGCACTTACCCATCCACTGAAAGACAACTAAAAAGAAAATCTACTTACTGCTATGCCAAACCTCAGTATATTGTCATTGTTGCATTGATCAATCACGGCTTTCAACATTGAACCATCATGCGATTCACCATCAGTTACAACCACCATTACTTTGGTGGCACCCGGTCGTCCTCCAGCCGCTGCTGCATAAGCAGAATCTCTGTGGCAGATAAGATTAAAGACTCACTATCAAAAGATGAAGCTAATATGTGGACCTCTGGTTAGAAATATAAATGTGAAACTAACTTCTTTGAGCATGACCTACTGTGACTTAGAATTTCTCTCTATAGGTCTGGTGACATATTTATCTACATTCTATTTGCAGCTAATAGGGAAATATATATAAATCTTGCTTGGCATTAACAATAATTTCCATAGTTTCTATGGCATGTGTGTGTGTATTTACATCAAGAATCCTTAGAATTATCTTCTGATAACAAAATTCAATTCATTAATACTAATAAACAGAGCAAAGATATTCAGTCCTGTCACCAGTTTTACTTACTGGATCTGCATTTACTTTCTCAATATGAAATTGCTTTTTAAAAAGTAATAAATACACTTGGCAAAAGAATGTCAAAGCATTTGGAAAGGTATACAATAAAAATCTGACACCAAGCCACTGTTCCAAAGGTAACCACCTTTATCTGTTTGTTTCCTTATAGAAAACATTTTATTTAGATGTATATGCATAATCTACTCCTCAAATGTTCATGCAAATGGGGACATAGTCTAGCCAATTATTTTTCATTTTTTTTTAAAAGACTTTATTTATCTGACAGAGAGAGAGAGCACAAGCAGGGGGAGCATCAGAGGGAGAGGGAGAAGCAGCGTCCCTGCTGAGCAGGGAGCCTGATGCAGGACTCCATCCCAAGACCCTGGGATCATGACCTGAGCCAAAGGCAGACACTTAACCAACTGAGCCACCCGGGCACCCCGATACAGTAATTTTTCATTTTGATGGAGATCTATCCACATAGGCACATACAAAGCTCTCTCTCTTTTAAGATTTTTATTTATTTATTTGCGAGAAAGAGCAAGAGAGAGTGCACAATTAGTGAGGTGGGAAGGGGCAGAGGGAAAGGGAGAAGCAGACTCCTGCTAAGCAGGGAGTCCGATGTTGGGCTCGATCCCAGGACCTCGAGATCATGACCTGAGTCAAAGGCAGATGCTTAACTGACTGAGCTACCCAGGTGCCTCCAAAGCGCTCCTTTTTAATGGCTGCATAATATTTCATTATTTGGGGGTAACCGTAGTTTAACCAATTATCCATTATTGTGCATTTAGGCCACTTTGAGTTTTACAAGTAATGCTGTAATAAATGTCCTTGTGTATATATCTTGGCATACTTTTCCAAATGTATCAGTAGGATAAAATCTTAGTAGTGAAATTAGTAGGCCAAAAGATTTACACATTTCAAACTTTGAAAGATATTGCAAAATTGGACTCTAAAAATTTCTACCAATTTGTATTTCTATAATGTAAAAGAATGCAAGTATCTCCATCTCCTTTCCTTAACAATGAGAATTATTAAACTTTTAAATTACAGACATTCTGATAAGTGAGACTATATAATTGTCTTAATATGTGGTTTTTTTCATTATGAAGAGATAATGAATATTTTATGTTTATTAGCCATTTGTAGTTTTTCTCTATGAACTCTTGATTTTTCTTTATCTTTGACCATTTTTCTTTGTATTATTCATTATTTTCTAATTAGTAAGAGCTCTTTGTTAATTAAGAAAATCATCTTTTTTCGAATGGATAAAGAAGATGTGGTATATATATATACAATGGAATATTATGCAGCCATCAAAAAGAATGAGCTCTTGCCATTTGCAATGACGTGGATGGAACTGGAGGGTGTTATGCTGAGCGAAATAAGTCAATCAGAGAAAGACATGTATCATATGACCTCACTGATATGAGGAATTCTTAATCTCAGGAAACAAACTGAGGGTTGCTGGAGTGGTGGGGGGTGGGAGGGACGGGGTGGCTGGGTGATAGACAATGGGGAGGGTATGTGCTATGGTGAGCGCTGTGAATTGTGCAAGACTGTTGAATCACAGATCTGTACCTCTGAAACAAATAATACAATATATGTTAAAAAAAAAGAAGAAGAAGATAGCAGGAGGGGAAGAATGAAGCGGGGGAAATCGGAGGGGGAGACGAACCATGAGAGACGATGGACTCTGAAAAACAAACTGAGGGCTCTAGAGGGGAGGGGGTGGGGGGATGGGTTAGCCTGGTGATGAGTATGAAAGAGGGCACGTTCTGCATGGAGCCCTGGGTGTTATACACAAACAATGAATCACGGAACACTACATCAAAAACTAATGATGTAATGTATGGTGATTAACATAACAATAAAAAAATAAAAAAAAAAGAGAAAATCATCTTTTTTCATATATATCACAAATATTTTCCTCAGTTCATTAATCTTTTTAAATTTCAGTGGTATTACCTCTGTATGTAAATTGCATATTTTGACATCAATTTTATTAGTTTTTTATGTGTATTCTTTTATATTTGACATGGTATTTTAAAAGGACCTCTTATCTCTAGACTTGTTTCTTTAATTTCCCAAGTTTCTCATAGTCCCTTAATAATTACACTTTCTTAAATTTAAATTTTGGTGCAGCTGAAATTTATTTTGATTCAAGGAATGAGTCAGGAATTCAGCTTTATTTTGTTTCTAGATCGGTATCCAGTTGTCCAACAAGTTTTTTCCTGTCTATTGGATTCTCCTGTTGCACATTCTTTCTGGGGAATGCCACCCACTCCTTTGGACTACCTACCACCTGTATGGTGACACCTTAAAGTCTACATCTATTTCCGTTCATCTCTCCTATTTCATATTTATACATTCAATGCCTGCTGAATATTTTCACCTGAATGTGCAAGGGACACTTTAATTTCAACATGTTTAAAACTGAGAATATCATTTTATTCCCTAAAGCCTTCCTACATAACAGAATGTTGAAGTGTAGAAAAATATTTCATATTTGTCACCCAGACAAATTTGAATACAGTACTCACATGAAATACTTGTTGAGTGAATTATACTCTTTATGACACATGGTAGAATTCATGTATGATCATAAGATTTCTGAGGGTAGAAACTGTGCCTCATTTGTTCTGATTAACTTCAGGTCTTGGAATAATCATAACCACAGACAGTCAATGAAATAACATAAATGGAAAATGGCAATATTTACTAAAAGAGTGTCAGAATTCTATTTGATGTTGTAAAGAAACAGACCAAAAACAAAAAAAAAAAAAAGGAAGAAAAGAAAAGAGAAGAAAAGGTAATTAACTTCTGGAAGGTGTGAGTAAGAAGTTAGGTGATTCTCCTAACAATGGAAAGGCTTTGATTAGCTTGGGAAATAGTGGTAAGAGCAAGATGATGGTACAGGAGAGAAAACCAAAGGTCTGAAAAGATGATAAAAGCCCAAAAGTCACATCTTAACAGACAGTGGCCATTCTTTTCGTGAGGAGATCCTAACAGGTCCCTGACTCCTTCCAGGGAAAAATACCACATCCATACTTCCTGCTGAAAACACAGGCCCTCTGCAGTTTGTAGCTCCTTCTAGGCCATTCTCCATGTCAACTTACTGTTCCTCTGAGTCTAGTTTACTAGGCCATAAAGGGCACTTTGTCAGTTGGCAACTGACCTATTGACTGGCCACAGCCTGTGAAATGGTGTGGCCCACAAGAACATCTCAATAGGGACAATAGAGATTAACCAAATCAATCCACTTGTAAGAAATCCACTTTTGAGACATATAGGGAAAGTCACCAGTGGATAGAAACAGCAACTAGAATATACACCCAGAAAAAAGGAGGGGCAGATAAATAGGAAATGCAGAAATAGGAAAGACAGGATACACGGTGACTGACTAGATGTGTGCTACTAAGGAAGAACAAAAAGAATAAAGAAAACCTGCAAGTGCTTACTTTGAATGACTGGGGGGAAGGGCAGCAGCATGAATCAAAATGGAAAAGTTGTGAGCATGGGTAGGGAAAAGAATAAGGCTGGTTTAGGATGTATTGAATTTGATAAGTGAGCCAACATTCCAAATTAAAGATCGCCAGCATCAGCTGGATGCCTGTGTGAATTCTGGGAGAGAGTTCAGAGCTGACCACATAGCAATGTGGTGACCTACACAGGGCTAATGGAGATGCCATGAGAGTGGAGACAATGCCTAAGAGGAAAGGGAGACAAAAAAAGAGGTCTCTGTTTAGTGAAGAAAAAATAGGAAAAGGAGCCAATGAAGAGGCAAAATTGTTGACAGAAAGTTGGCAGGGATTCTAAAAGTTTGTGATGTCACGGCAACTGGGGCTGAAATAGCCGTGTGTGCTCATCAGCAGCAAATAGTGAGGGAAGCTAAAGAGGATGAAGTTTGAGGCAGGACCACTGGGTTGCTGGCTGATGAAGAAGCCCATGTTTACCTGGTGGCAAGCCATATGTTTCAAGGAAGTGGAGGGAGGGAGTAAAGACAATTTTTCAAGGAATATGGTAGTGGAAGGAAGAAATACACGACACAGTGACAAAGGCAGCAAGTAGGTTTAAGGGAAGGTGAAGTTATTTTTCTCATTTATTTTTTAAGAATAGGAGAATCTTTAGCATTTTTGTAAAGGTATGTGATTAAAACAGAGTGAAGATGAACGCAGGAGTGCTGAGAAAATAGAGAAACTGAGCTAAAAATTGAGAGCGTTGCACAGTTGTAACATTCACATTGCCCTGGGTTGTAATAAACATAGTGAACCCAATCCATTTAATTCGGACTCCTAGGTCGTTAACATTTAAGATTCTGTGACCCTTCTTAATATGCATGAAGTGCTCCGTTAGCTAAAGTAGTTTGTGGCCTTAATAAATATTAACAAATAATTGCAGATTGCTCCATTTCCTACTCGTTTCATCTGCTTCATATACAATCTTTATTTTTTTTAAAGATTTTATTTATTTATTTGACAGAGAGAGAGAGAGAGAGACAGCGAGAGAGGGAACACAAGCAGGGGGAGTGGGGGAGGGAGAAGCAGGCTTCCCGCGGAGAAGGGAGCCCAATGTGGGGCTCGATCCCAGGATCCTGGGATCATGACCTGAGCTAAAGGCAGACGCTTAACAACTGAGCCACCCAGGCATCCCGCATATACAATCTTTAAAAAAAAATGGAATATCTTTTAAAAGTCCTAGAAATCAAAGATTTTAAAATTTCATTTCCTGTTGCCTTTTCAAAGTGTTCAAGTAACAGAACATTTGAACTTTCCTTCTTTATTACTTCTGATTTAAGTGTAAGTGCCAGGTATGTTATTTTTGTCTTTTCTTTTCTTTTTTTTTTTTTGTCTTACTTACTTATAAGCACTTCTATTTTATCAAAATATTGGGCTATTAGCATCATAACTTACTTTGCATATTGAATTGCTTTGAATGTATTTGTGAGGTCTCCACCATACTGGTATGTCTGGGATGTTGCTTCAATCATTTCAGCTTTGGTTTTGAAAGTGTTCAGGTTAAATACAACTCTTGGATTGTTGGCATACTGAATTAACCCCACCTTCAAGAAAGCAGAAGTTCATTAAAGGTTTGTCATTAAGTTATAAATAATTTCTAATTAACCAATATAATCAAAATCAAAAGTGCATCTGGATGTGGGCTGATAGTATAAGGGAATCATTTCCAATTTTTTTCTTAAGAATAGATATTTTTCTTCCAATAGAATGACTTCTTTGTTAGAGGCTGTCAGTATACAGCAGCAGTACTTCTTGATAAGCAAAATGAGGTCCTATCTGGTATAATCTGGTTCTTAAGAGTAATAGTTATAGATTTTCAACTATAATAGTTATAGATTATCTAGTAATAGATTTTAAAGCAGTGTCTTGTAATATTTTAATATGGATAAATATTAGAATAAAGTTCATAACAAGAAGATTAAATGATATAAATTTTCTAATTAACAATGGCTATAAGCAAGTAAACAATTATAAGCAGTCATAGATGGAAGCTAACAGCTCATCAATTGAGAATACTTGCATATTAAACAAAGAATTAGATTTGAATACAAAAAACCCAAAACAAAACAGTGAGCTAATCAACACAGTCAATTTATTGTTCTAGATTTCCTCTAATCACAGACTTCAGCATTTTTGGAAGAAACCTGCTATATGAGCATGTGGGCCAGACGTTTCTGGCCTTCAGAGAAGATGCCATTAGGGAGAGTCTTATTTGAAAGACCTGACAGACAGAACAACTTCTGAACAAGATTCTGGGGCACATATCCTAATCCTTTAGATCAAGAAGGCCAAACACTTCTATTAACATCCTGGTTCTCAGCCTTGAAATCATCCTCTATGCCTAGGAGTTGGGGGCTTTCAGAACAGGAAGTGGCAATAGGAGATTAGTGGTAAAAAGGTCTCTAAAATAGAGGTCAGTCTGTAAGGAAGGTGGAAGGTGCAAGGCCTGGATTTCTGAGTTCAGTCAGCTACTTTTGCTAGGAAGCAATCAAGTAGGCATTAGGAAGATGTGAAAAATATGATATTGCTGGAGCCTTCTCCTTAGGATAGGATATAAGACTTGAGAGAGAGGATGGATCAAAAATAACTCTAAGGATTTAAAAGTCTAAAATGAGAGGAAGCGTTAGTAACTCCCATGACAGCCCCAGAACTTCGGTGTGAGAAAGGGGAGCGATGCACAGAAGACTCAAAGAAATGTAGTATATTAGGACTTACAGAATGGTCAAATTTAGATCGGAAGAAAAGGAGACTTTGTAAAGCACCTCTAGAGATGAAGATGCATTGGGGTAGGAAGACAAGGAGAGGAAGGCCATAAATTCCTTGCGAGAGACTATGAAATAGAGTAAATCTTGTAATGGGGGTAATCCATTCAGAGACAGATAAAATAAGCAGATAATTAGGAAAACTTCTCTTATGATGGGCCTGAAGATGGTACTATACAGAAATCAGTGCCATACACAGTCTTTTTTAAAAAGATTCTATTTATTTGAGAGAGAGAGCACGAGCTGGGGGAGAGGCAGAGGGAGAGGGCAAGGAGACTCTGCTGAGCATGGAGCCTGCCATGGGGCTTGACGTGGGGCTTGATCCCAGGACCCTGAGATCATGACCTGAGCTCAAGTCAGACACTTAACTCACTGAGCCACCCACGTGCCTCTACACTTAGTCTCATTCACAGAATTTTCACACAGTGAAACCTCCAAAGTTTCAGTGGACATTAGTGTCCTTTAGGTATTGAAAAGCAATGTCAATGGGGAAAACATATAATAATATTTTGTAATACTGTACAGGGAAGCAGAAAATCAAATTTCAATATAGCTAACCGCAAAGCATTTAGGGGGAAATGTTCCAACAATTATTACTAGATGTTGGACACTAGGGCCTCAGATGACAGGAACAACCCAAAAACATACACTGGTAACTGTGAACTGGTTCCTGTTGATTCTGGTTCAATGTGCTTCTACAACCAGAATGAGCCATGAAATGGCAAATCCAATAAAAAAGAAAGAAAAAAGACCCAAAACTTTAACAATAAATGCTATTCAGTTTTTGGAAAGTGAGAAGCTTCTGTTTCTGAGTTTTGGATGCCTATCTCAAGAAAATAGAAAAGCAAATTAAAGACTCGTTAAAACACAGGCAGCTACACAAAATTATTTAAAAGACGTGTCCTGTGTAAAAAAGGAAGGATAGACTAAAATATGATAAAAGACTAAAAAATAATAAAAGATAGGATTATACTGTCTATGGACTTCTTTATAAAAAATCCCAGAATTCAAGGACAATTATTTTACCAGCAAACAAAAAGAAATTAATTATTAGTCCAAGTGGCTGTCAAGAAAAAATAATACAGGATTTTAAAATGTATTAATAAATCCATGAGTTATAGGAGGGAAAAATAAGCAACTAAAGAGGATTAAGAGTGGGTGATCCAGTGCCTCATTGTTGGGGAGAGAATTGGATTCAAGCAGCATCCAAAATATAAACATGATTATGTTTCTCACTAAGGATACTTGGTCTTAATGATTTTATTCCCTGCTGTTGTGGAGATTGTGTTTTAACCAGGTTTTAAATGTGTCTTGTGTGTAACTGGACTCCTTGCATGGATCTTGTATATAGTTTTATTTGATGGACTTTTATGATAAAATAAATGTTGAATCTCTTTGGTTGTAAAAAAAAAAAAAAAAAAGCTATATCCCAGGGACACCTGGGTGGCTCAGTCAGTTAAGCATCCGACTGTTGATTTCAGCTCAGGTCATGATCTCAGGGTCGTGAGATTGAGCCCCGAGTCAGGCTCTGTCCTGGGCGTGGAGGCTGCTTGAGATTCTCTCTCTCCCTCTCCCTCTCCCTATGCCCCTCCCCCACTTCCATTCTTTCTCTCTCTCTTTCTCTCTCACACACACACAAAATGCTCTATCCCACATCCGATGTTTGTGTCAGAAATAGAAGTCTCAAATCTCAAAAACCAGCATTAGGCAAAGTCATAGACAGAACAACTTAATGTAGTACAAGTTTCAATTAACTGTCAAGATTACCATTAAATGCATTTAATATGGGGATCTGAAAAATGCAAAAATTAAGACGTCATCGCTAACAATATTTTCTCAGAAAGAAAGCTGTGGGTTAGTGTATGTGTTATTCAAATCCATACCTGTGTTTTCTTGGGGCCTATATCCAGGCCTTGGACAAATTTTTCCAAAAAATTCTTTACTGCATCCCAGGGATAAATACTGTTCGATTCATCACACACAACCACAACATCTATGAGGGAAGGGCAGGCTACACAGGAAAAAATGAAAGAAACAGATTTCCATAGGTAATTCAGTCTTCACACTCATATGCAAATGGAACAAAATAAAATGGACTTGAGGAGTTGGGTGGCACTTGATAAATCCCGCCTTCCCCTTCATATAAGGCATAGCTCAGACCCTCTGCACATTCATCACTTACTCTGAACTGCAGGTGCAAAGCTGGTCAAGAGCTGAAAATCGGGACTGACGTCAGAACAAACCCCAGTTGTGTAATATTGACTTCCACACTGCTGTGCCCACAGGGGACCACACGTCTTTAGAGAAATGAGAGCAATGACAAAACATATGGAAAACATGAGTCCTCTACGTCTCCATTGGTAAAACTCAGAGATCATTTCTATGATTTTACCAGATACTAGGAATTGTCAACTCTTGTAACTAACAGGTCAAAAAAAAAGCCTCTGAGAGAAAGTGTCTCAGAAAGAAATAGCAACCAGAAGTAAGGGAGAAAGAAGGTGGCAGCTGGGCTGGGAGGCAGGTATTGATGGTGCAGGGAGAAGCCCCTCTGGTCACCCCCCAAGCTAGAGAAAGCGGGTGCTTTCCTTCCTCTTTGGTCTCTCAGTTACCTGGGCCTCAGGGGCTGAATCTGTAAATGAGGATAATCATACCTATTATCTTTTAAGGTTGTTGTAAAGATTAAGTGGGTCTATAGATATAAAACCTTTAGAACAGTGCAGGGTAAATAGCAAATGCTACATAATTGTGAGCCAGCATCATTGCTATTATTATTCTTGAACAAAGATTATACCATTCACCGATACTACTGTGCTCTCTATCTACTACCTCTTATAATATTCAGCAGAAACCCACAAGCCCCAGGGCCAGGCAGGAACCTAGGAGTGTTCTGGGCTGGTATAGACGCCATGATGAATGAAGAACCCAGGGGCAGCCACCATGGCTCTTGCCCATTGCCAGCCTTGCCAGATCTTTCCAATTTTCAAGGAGAGCCTGAGAGGACAAATTCTTTGTGCAAATTCAGTTAACAAAAAGAACAAACTCTATGGGCTCAACAAACACAACGATGTTCATGAACTGCCAGTTTCTGACTTTGTCCTAAAGTATTTATTTGAGGACTTCTGATCCCCCTTTTTGTACTACATAAAACCTTCGGTCATCCAAGCTACCACTTGTCTCCCTGCCCACATCAGACATACTACAATTCTTCATGGTCCCATCAACCCAGCCTCAAATCTCTCTTTTTCAGCAGCCCTTGAATGCCAAGAACTCCTGCTTCAGTTGTGATTAAATCACACAGAAAACGCTACATTAAATAATATTAAAATTGCTAGATGTAAAAGGACAAAAATGGGAAAGAGAAGTCTAGTCAAGATCTTAAAGAGCACCTACAAAGTTTAGCATTAGGTAAAGCTGTGGATCAATTATTAAAGCTTAACAAAAAAGTGTGAACTTGCAAAAAGCAATTGGAAGAATAAAAGGGAATTTATTTGACCCAGTTTAATTGTTGGTTGCTCGAAGGAAAAGCAGCTGTGGTCATATTTCATGCTCAGTGAATAAGCCATAGTTCTTCCTCCTATAAAACTGGTTCATTTTGCCAATTAGTTAGGGGACAATCACAATTGATGGCTTTGGCTAGTTTACCAAATAACAGATACCAATTATTGATTCCTATATCCCCATCCCCAATTGTTTTTTTTTTAAATCACCTTGAAAAACAGTAACTCGTGAAATATTCAAGATTTTTTTTGTTTTAAAAGCAATGGAAAACAGCATTTAAAAGTTGAAATTAGAATATGCCAATTGTTAATGCCAGAACTACATTCCTGCTTTAAGCCCAGAACTTAAGAAGTTTCAAAAAAATGTGATGATTGTCAGTCTTTTCCACATAATTCTTAAGAGTATCTTAAGATTTTGACCTTTTAGGTATGTAAAGGAAGCTTTGGCTTTTTTTTCTTTCTTTTTTTCCTCTCTCTCTCTCCCTCCCTCCCCCTTTGCGCCTTCTCTGCTCGCTACATTGATTGTTAAATTAATCTCTTAAAATTCTCTAGCAATTTTAAATTACTTTACCTGAAGTTACACATTAAAAATTTTGAAGCACAACCTGTAATCCCTATATCTCAATATGTTCCTCTTCCTGAATTTATTCAACCTTAAAAACAAACAAGCAAACAAAAAAAAAAGAGGAAAGCAACCGTATTATAAAGACTTTAGGATATCATAACCGTGAAGATTCACTGCAATATTCATTTTGCTTTGAATTACACATATTATAAGCAATACCTGATGTTTGAATACCAATGTCTGAATACTAGTATCTATTAGTAAAAGTAGAATGACATTGTTAAAATTGATTATATTTTTAGAATAATTTAGTTATTATACACATAGCCTTTTAAGTTAGCATGTCAATCGTATAGACATAACTAATGTAAAGTTAAATTAAGCGTTCTATGGCTATTTTAACAGGGTGATATAACTAGGATCATCTATGAGCTGGTGGAAATGTCTAATAAAATTGGGTTTTTATTTGCCTTAAAATTTCTTTGGTATGTGATGGTTTTCATTTTTTAATATAGTCAGATATTTTCAACAATTTCCTATATTATTTCTCCTGTTAGTTCTAAGCTCAGAAATTTTTCCCTCTTTCAGAAAATTTCCATTTTCCTCCAGTTTTTAATATTAACTCTTTAATTCACTTGAAAGCATATTTGAATATATAAGTTATTAACCAATTAATTGTCCCCAGACCGCTTGTTAAAGAAGGTATTTTTTTCTCACTGATTTGTGATCCTTTCCTCAGCATTCTAGAAACTAAGTGAGAGTAAACACTAATATGAAATAAGAAGAGACCAAGCCATGACTTAGATGATATCAGATTTACCAACAGTTACAGCAAAGGATTAAAGACAGAAATACTCTTCAGCTTTGAAATCCACTCTCTGAATTAGCAGTACCTAGCTTGAATGTTCCTATGGGAAGGAGAAATGAAACCTGGAATTCTGCTATTATCAACAAATGCTAAGGGTACTTTCCAAGGGCAAAGAATCGGTGTTCCTTGTGTTGCTTTTTTCTAAGACATTCCTGGCAACTCTTTTGCTGAATATCTTAAGAAGTCTATACATCAATAGATGGGCATTTCATGTTGGATATCCACAATGGATGATTTATCCAAAAGCAAACTGTAATATTTAAGTGTCAAGATTTGATTTGATAGGTGGGATGGTGAGAAGACACTAACTTCATACTTTCTTGAAATAGATGGGAATTTGAAAGGTAAACACTCACGAGAAATCCTCCAGTGCCCATGTTCCTTGTGAGAGTCAAGCCAAGGCTCATGTTGATTTTCATTTCAGTAACATTGGGAATGCTTGTGGCAGCTTTCAAAGGGAAAAACATTTTAAAAAGTGAATAAATCTTCACCATTTATTTAAACTTGTTTAAAAAAAGACCCACACAATGATGTTTATGTGTAGCCCTGAATTTAGCGTCATATATCCAGGTACTCACATTATATAATCACATGTAAAGAAAGGAGGGGCCTTCGGTGATCTGGTAGCTTGTACACTTAAATGAGTGAGGTTACAGAATGTCAGATATTAGGGGGTGGTGTCTGTAAAGGGCATGACTTATAGGCACTTAAATTTAAATTTTTTAAAAACAAAATGCTGGCCAAACTATACACACCTGAGGACACAATTTGGTCTACAATTTGCCAACCTACTCTTTTCAAGGTCACAACAGCTCCATCTAATGTTTTATTATGGATCAGAAAAAAAAAAATCCTTAAAGTGTTATTAAAAAAATGCATACAGTGAATCTGGCCCAAAACATTAATGGCTGAATTTTAAAAGGAAATCATGAGACTAGCTATGTAAAATAATAAATACAAACAATTACAAAGTATTCCAAATAGTGACAATTTTTTTATTAGAATGCAACAGAGTGTTTCTCAGCATCTCTAACAGCAACACTAGTATTGACAGGTCTATACCTAATGGTTTGTTTTGAGGAGGGAAAGAGGTATGGTTAGACTTAGATATCTATAAATAATCAGCAAAATAATCCTAAACATTGATGGAAACTGGTCCACAGTCTGGGGGTAGATGGTCCAAGAGGCAGCACATTTCTCATGTATCTTATTAAATCAGGTCTTTAAGCTGTGTTGGAAATTTGGATACAATTGGACCCCATATGACTAAAGATAATAAAGGCAAAAAAGCTGTCTATATTTCTTCAAGATAGACTATGATTGATTCTGTTATTTTTTAGAGTTACATCAAATGAGATCTTGTTATTTGTAAAAAGTCATATTGCTAATTACTACTTACTTTCCAAATTCAGTTTTTCACATGTAGCATTGGACAGATCAACAGGACATTTATACACATCTCCCATTCGGTTCTCAGGAAAGCCACTCCAAGGTGAACCGACTAGTAACCTAGAAATAGGAATTATTTTTCATTAGATATAAAATGTTAGTATAGTTTCTTAAAGTTTAAAACCGACCACAAAACAATGAAAAAATCCCCATTTAATTTCAATCTTAATAAGAAAATAGTTCATATTTGTTCAATTACAATTTGTTCTTTTTCCTCTTCTCTTAGCTGATCAAGATTCTTAATGAATATTTGCATACAGTATAGAAATATAATGCAGGCCACAAATGTGATCTGCATATGTAATTTAAAATTTTCTAGTAGTCACATTAATACAATAAAAAGCAAAGGTGAAATTCACTTAAATAATATGTTTTATCTAACTTGATATACCAAACTAGTATGCAATCATTATAAATAAAAATTATTAATGAGCTATATGACATTCTTTTTTCCATACTAAGTCTTTGAAATTCAGTGTGTGTTTTTTACTCAGAGCACAAATCAGTACGGAGAAGTAACATTTCAAGAGCTCAGTAGCCACATGAGGCTAGCGGCTGCCATATTGGTCAGCATAACTTTAAAGAATGAAACAAGATTAAAACGAAAACAAAAACTAACGTTTGTTGAGTGCTTTTCTTGTCCCTAGTATTTTCATATGTTAATTTACTTAGGGAACAGATGAGTTATCTAAGTGGTTTTACTGTTTATTGTCTATATAAGAGGATCCTTAGCAAAAAACACAGAGCAAATATACTGTGGAGCTTTCTTTATGTGTAACGTGTTTGTAGCCAGAACACAGGATGCAGAGTTTGGAGACTGGTGCTCCCATCCTCCTTTTGGTTAGTTTCATTTCCTACAGAACTTGTCCAACTAGAGACTAAATGTTTCCCTGTGGAGCCACTCACCTAACATTTCTGGTTACAGAAGAATGGACAGAAAGAGTCCGTGTAAACAGTCTGATCTTCAGAATCTATAGTAGGTTAATTACTCAGCAGCATTCAGTTACTAAGGAAGCATATTTGATTCAATGTTTTTTTTCCCTGTCAAGGTTGGCAGATTAGATGAAACTTAAATTCTTTCATGAGCATTCTGCAAAATATATTTTATCATTGTTGATTAAACAACATGTGCCTTACACTAAGTGCCACAATGGATACAAAAAAGACTAAGATGCACGTCTGTCTACTAAATCTAGTAAAACTATTTAAGATACATGACAAGTAAAACAATAACAATACAAATGAACAGAAAGATATAAATAAGTTCCTCTCTGGAACAAACGTTAAAATGGTCAGAGGATGCAAAAATGGATATTGAAAGATGAAGGTGGCAGTTATCATTCTCAGCAGAGGGAAGAGTGTGAATAGTCATGGAAAGAAGAAAATACCAATTATTTTGAAAGACAGTTAATGATTCACACAGTAAGTGAGAGCTAAGTGTAACTGATTTTGATACCCAAGCTCTTAACCCTTAGCTTATTCTCCTTCCTCTTAGCTGCACAAAGGCCTGGCATAGGGCCTAGATTGGGAAAACTATCAGGACAAATGGGCTGCATTCCAGAATAATCAAAGAGTGGATCTGGAAACTGATGGTCAGGCCACGTCTACCGTGATGAGGGTGTGGCTGTGTGGTGTGTAAGGAGGCTATGGACTGGAAGGACACCAGCCAAGGTCAACTTGTAAGAGCACATCTACACTGTGGGCCCAGGCTGTACTGTTCATAATGTAGGTAAGAGCAGATCATGTTCAAATAGTACTAAATGTGGTAATTTGGGTGACTTTCATTATGCACACTTTCCATCCATCCTCACCAGCCCAAGGGCAAGAAACACACTGAAGAGTAAAAGTTAAGTGTTCCTTATCTAAAATTTAACCATCCTGTTCTTCAGAGTCTTCAGCAGTAAAGCACCATCATGGAGTTACCTACTTCTCGATGAGAAGGCTCAAAAGGCTACTTGCTGTCTCCTCTTGACTAAGTGCTCCCTGGACACACCTCTCCACCTCACTTCCTCCAACCTCACCAAAGAATTCGGGATTTGATAATCTCACATTCAGGAGGGGGTATGACATCTCCACTACTGCTGTGAGAGCTGTGGCCTCCTACACGAATCAAATGGGAAGAAGAGAGAAAAAGAAACATCTGCACAACTGTGTGCCTCGCAACAAAAAAAATGTGATAGTACTTGTAAATCTCTCAAAGAAAACATGTAAATCTCTGGCAGTATGATGCCATATTAAACTCTTAACACAAGACAGCAGGTAACAGTGGAAAACCAGATCATCTTGGTAACTGGTAAAGAACCAGGGTGTCCTCATCATATATGACTGACTCATTCTTTCAATATGGTGAACCACATTAGTTAGTAGCCTCCAGGTCACGCTAGTGACTACAGAGAATGTTTCAAAGACCACGTTAACTCCCTTATTGGCAACATTTCCAGTAGACTCTCCTCGCTTCTACCCACAGGTCTTGGTGAAATCCTGGTTCCTGACAATTCATCCTCATAAGGAAAGGCTATGACATCACCAGTGGCTACTCCAAGGGAATTGTGACATTCTTATATTAATCAGACAGGAAGATGAGGGAGGCTGGTATATTTATCTGTAAAATCTTATGTAATTAGCTGTAACAGGAAGAAACACGCCAGGAGAAAATGTTACAAGGGTGGAGAATAGGATAGGTGAGTGAGTAAACCCTGCTGCAGTATGGTAAAACTTCTTAGAAGGAATGGATTTAACATAATCACAACCAGACAAAAGAGCTGCATGAACAGTTGTGTGTGCTGATTCTCAAAACAAAACAAAATCCCAAGATATAAACTCTCTTTCCTACAGTGAAACTGGGAATTCTTCCAAGATGACTTAAAAATAACACTTACTGTTCAATTATCTTGTGGGGAAATAGTGATTATGTAGAGTTCCAAAACACAGCCAATTTGCCCACCTCCAGTGGAATTCAAAATACTTTGTTTAGTTAGTAAACAGTATTTATGGTGGTGTAGGTAGTTTAAACCCACAATCCAGGGGCTGTTATAAATATCTTCCTTTGGTCTGTGAGTCTATAAACTCTGCAAGTGTTCCTTTAATACTAGCGATTTCTCTAGAGATTATTGACAGAATGTACTTAAAATAGTAGGGCAAAACATGTTTTCTTTGATTCAACAAACGTTTATTGAAATCCTATGGGGCTGAAATTTTGCACAACTCCAGGGGATACCATTTCCATATAAAGAGTGTGCGCTGGCCTTTTTAAGTATGCAGCCTGTGAGGCTGTACATGGTGGCTAGACCTACTATGTGCCAGACTTGATTCTAGGCACTGGGGATCCGTCAATGAATAAGTCAGTCAAACATTTCTGGTCTCATGGAGCTGACATTCTAGTGGGGAAAAGATAGACAATAAATTTAATAAGTAAATAAAACATATCATGATGATGATCAGTACTTTATGGGAAAAAGGAGGATAGTAGTGTGGTGCGGAGGGTGTTATAATCTTTATTAGAAGGGTCAGAGAGGGCCTCACGGAAAAGTTGCTGTTTAAGCAAAGACTCGAAGGAGGTGAAGGAGTAAACCATAAGACTCTGGTGGAAGAATACGAGGCTGTGGGAACAGCAAGTGCAAAAGCCCTGTGGTTGGACCACACTGTGTGAGGAAGAATGTGGGAGGAGATGCGGTCAGATTGGTAATGGGGCTAGATCCCATAAGATTGATATGAAATTCTAAGAACATGGCTTTGCCTCTGAGTGACATGAGAAAGCCATTGGAGGGTTTTTTAACACAGTAATGATGTGATCTGACATATTTCAGAAGGATTTTGAAGACTGCTTTGTTGAGAATTATTGCATTGGGCCAAGGTGAAGCACTTCAGAGGCAAATACAAAATCCAGGCAAGAGGCGATGAGGGGCTCCTACAGGACTGTGAGAAGTGATCTTATTTTAGATATATTTTGAAGGTAGGGCCATCAGGATTTCTTGAGAGGTTAGTTTTTAAATACACACACCCACACCCACACTCATGCAAACACGCACACACACAGAGTCAAGGATGACTCCAAGTTTTCTCCACCAAGAAACTAAAAGGAACCAAGTGGTCATGATCAGGTAAGGGGGATACTCTCAGTAGAGCAAGATTTTGAGATAGAATGAGCTCAAGAGCTCAGTGTGAGGTATTTTAAGTTTGAGATATCTATCAGACATCCGTGGGGATATTTTACTTAGGATTAGAAGCCTATTGTATATAACACATTAATGTAAGAAATTTCAAAGTCTATAGTATATAAATATAAATATTGTTCCTTACATTGTTTAGGTCCAAGCCACTGACGACACAAGGGTTCTGGTGAGTTCTATATAGCTACTTCCTTCCTGCTTGTAATGTAAAAGGAGTTTATGATGCAAAGAAATCACCTGGGAAGACTTCAAGTCTCCAGGAAGGAGGAAGACAGGTAAAGGGAGTTCATTTTTAGCTCCTGGTTGGGAAATACTGTTGTTATAAATTTAATAGTTAAACCCTTTGGCGTGTGTTGAAAGGAAATTTTAGTTTCTAAGCTTCATTATGCTACCTCAGACTCCTTTGGCTGCCAGATTGCTTCCTTAAATAGGGGATGGCTAAAGCCTCAAGGTCTTTCAGTTCCCTGATGTGGTGGATGTGGAGTCTACCAGCCTCATTATTGCTAAAACATCTTAAGCCTATTGTTCTGTTTCATAAAAAGTCTGGAAATTAGCTTTTGTACTGTAAACAGATGAATCAAATAAAAGCTGATTCTGTTATGTTGACTCATCCAACATGCAGTTTTCCTAAAGTTAAAATCAAAAGCTGACATATTCGGTTTAAAGCCTTGTGATGATATAAATTCCACATTCTTCGAAGGAATGATTTTTAAGACCACCACATTTTTCCAAATCAAAGCCCATGAGTTAGTACCTTTCAACAAGGTGCTTAGGCAGATGGTTGTTTTATCAATGATAAAATTTGGAAAAGCAACATTTATAAAGTACTTTTTGTGTACACTGTCTTCTTTGATCCTTATAGAGGTCAAGTGTTACAACTATTCGTGTTTT